ATGAGTCAGTCAGTACATTTCAGTCGTAGTGTAAAGTTTCCAGTGGGGTGTCTAGCATCAACGCTCATTTTATGTTTCATGATTTTTTAGAGATTTGTTATCAGTGCTAAGAAATATCTAAATGCACTCGCACTAATTTTCTGCAAACTGTAAAGGCTTACAATAGTACAATGAAATTGCTACAAACACGAAACGTTGTAGAACATTAATTTATCCATAAAAATTTGCACTTTAACTATAACGCTTTTCGTTAGTGCTGGCACCATGTTAACATTCTGAAGGCTCGAGTTTAGAATGTTATCAATTCTGGATTGACTACATTCAAATACCTCGAGTTGGTGAGATGATCATGGACATAGGACAGCAAAATTAAAATTTCCGCAAACATCTACTTTCGTATGAACTATTAAAATTTGCGTATATAATGTCTACACTGATGCTACAATACCATTTATAGTCCAGCTGTTAATGATAAAATTCTTCACTTTGATGATACAAGTATGAAACTTTCTCACATTCTTACTATGCCTAGTAACACAAAATTTTGATATAGGGCCAGCTCATATTTTACATTTATAACGAGTTCTGCGAATGTCGTGTTTGATGACGTCATCGGTAGTAAAAAAAATAAAGTTCAGAGAAATCTGCAATTTCCCTGTATATTCTTATACAACAGCTAAAGACGATAAAAAAACTATATTACAACTTTTGCTTTTGAGCAATACATTCTGAAATATTCTACAATAAAAGTGTTTTAAAAGTGCTGACTCAGCACTTTTGTTTTGTGCTATTGCTCTTTCTTAAATACATTGGAAAAGCGCCTAACGAAGAGCAGTAATATTAAAATAATTTTAATGCCCTCATGTTATTGACAATCACCCCCACAATTACACAAACGAGTACAAACTAAATGTGCTTTGACGTATTTACAACGACTAGAACATGAACTTTTGCATCCGCAACGAATAAGTTCATAACAGGCATCTTTAACTTGAGGGAGATTTGTCCACTTTGGTAACCAAGAATTTTCATCACGGTACCAGCCCCAACCTGACGGAGTTGGTATAACCTGCTCTTTCAAGCAGCACTGCCCCCAGAAAAATCCACCCTGCAACAATGAACGCTTAGTGTGCTGGAGCAACGCTTCTTGGGTTGGTGGAATGTTATCCAGTGTTCTGGACTTTTTGGCAAACAAGTCTTGTCTAGCCTCATTGACTCTGGTGAGATTACTTGTACGATCGTATAAGAGGACCACATATCGCTCAATCACCTGCAAAACATTATATGAATCATAATAGAGACCTTATTTGATAGATAATACATGCCTTTGGCGGTTTCTGAATTACCTGCAAGGACGAACAATCAATCCTTTCTGGCAACAAATTTAGCTCTTGCAACGCTAATGTTAGCTCTGGAAATACATTCCATACATCCCATGCAGTTTTCTTTCCTCGACCTCCAAAAAAGGAAACAGTATCACAACCCGTAAAAGCGTTAAACAACGGTAGAACAGATGCCTTGTCAGGTCCGATAGTCGATGCAATTGTATGCGCGGGAATATAACGCGAGTGCTTTCCTGTGCCATAAAGAATCCATAATTCTTCTGCTTTGATGTTTTTCACAATTGAAATGGCCAGTATCAATACGTCTGTATCATTTGTTCTTACAACAATCCTCTGGTGGCCGCAGTCACTTGCATCTAACACGTGCACCATCAATCGTGTGTCAGCCTCTTCATGATTACATGATTCCAACATTGATACTTCGGTTCTTTTAGGGAAGCACAAGACCTTTTCTTCAAATGTACTGTCTCTTCCTTCTTGAATCTGCTGGGAAATAACTTTCTGCGCTAAGAAATTGAATAGATCCATTTTGTTGGCATCTACGCGCAGGAAGCCCTTCCAGTCAGTAGGGATACGTGCTGTCGATGAAACCTTGCGGCGTTGACCAAAGCCTCTCTTCTCCCGTGCGTTTTTTTTCAGCGAATCCTCTTTGTATACATCCCACACTAAATCAATTCTTTTAGCTGATTGAAATTGCTTTAACACATAAGGAATGAAAGCAAACTGAGCGTACTCTTCGAACGTTTCCCAAGTTCCAGGTGAAATCATTTGAACAACAACAGCCCGTCTAAAATAATAACATCGGGAGTTGGTGACTGAACTTTGGTAATGGGCTCGATACACTTTGTCAAGTCTGCTTTATTACCAGTACGCAAACTTCCTGCTTGTGAGAGAGATGGTGGCCATGGTTTGTTCTCATATTTAAAGAAATCATCAAGATCACCACTTCGATTTTGACTGGCTATATACAATCTTGAAAATAAAGCACAGTCTAGTTTCAGAGTTTGTATATTTACTTTATATTTTGACGAAACACTTTTTCTTCCTGTTTTAAACGTTGGCAGACTATTTTTTTTCAACGTTTCAGTAATACTCTTGCTTCTCTCAACAAATCTTTCTTTAACAAATGCTTGATATTGTTCTTCTCCAAGGGTTACAACATTCTTCACCGTGTCAACAACGGAACTGTTCATCACGTCATTTGTGTGGATGGCAAATAGGTCTTCGCTCTCTTCTACAAAAGGATTCCCCATCCCATGAAAATTGGAGACGACATTTGAGACATCTTTATAAAATTCTCTTTGAATGGATGGAGTTTGCTCATGGTGTAGCTGACTGTCGACATGTGTACTCATCTCGAATTCCCTAATTATTCGTGCAATTTCTGGACCTGCAATCATCCATCTCCTTAAAGCTGAAAGGTTTTCGGTTAGTCCCACAGCACCAACTTCTCCCTTTACCACTGCATTAACCTGCTCGTGAGCATGATCTAATGCTATAGCTGAAAACTGTTTCTTCGTTTTATGCACCACAAACGAGCCCTTGGAGAACTGGTTAAAGACGTCAGGGTGTTTGAATGGAAGCTCCGACATATCACAGATATGGACAGAAAGCCATCTTGCATAATTAACATTGTCCAAACCAAACATCCAAGGGACAAGTTGCTTAATTGACTGGAAGTATAAGGAGAAATTAGCTTCTCTAAATGATCGCACTAGTTGTAAACAAAGTAATTCTAGTTCCAAAACTCTGGTCCAATACAGAAACTGAGGATGATCCTTTGACATATCTTCTTTCCAATTAGGTTTTTTCAATTAGGTTATTCTGAATGCTAACACAAGTAAGGTAATAAATCTTAAAGAAACTTAATTGAATGTTCTTCATTGTTTCGATACGATTTATCATTGCACTATGGTGAAAGCCGTGAGGGCACATTGTTATACACTTTATATACATATATATAATATATATAAAAGTGCTGACTCAGCACTTTTCAGAATATTCCATGCACAATATTTGGGAAAGTATTGCCCAAAAGAAAAAGTTGTAATATAGTTTTTCCATCGTCTTTAGCTGTTGTATAAGAATATACAGGGAAATTGCAGATTTCTCTGAACTTTATGTTTTTTTTACTACCGATGACGTCATCAAACACGACATTCGCAGAACTCGTTTTAAATGTAAAATATGGGCTGGCCCTATATCAAAATTTTGTGTTACTAGGCATAGTAAGAATGTGAGAAAGTTTCATACTTGTATCATCAAAGTGAAGGGTTAGGTGTTTTTTTTGTCGTTAACAGCTGGACTATTATAGTTATGCACTTAAAAATGTTCTCTCCCTTTCATGGGTCAATGGTCGGTCATTGTGTGTTGAGAGTTGTCTATCTTGTCAAAATTTAAGACGTTTGACCCATATACGTGGAAGTTACGCGAGATCACGCGCGTGACCTCACATTGCAATTAAATAAGGAACTGCAGCCTGCTGTGAGAAATATTTAAAATTCTTTATGTTATCATCCACGTCAACGTTAAATATTTTTCTGGCGATATATGATCATGATATCAAGAAATATTCCTTTCATCCAATAAAATAGTAGGATAAAGATTTTTGATTGGTTTTCTTTTTACAATTTTCTGCTGACCGTTTTTATGGCTGTCACGACTTTACCTGACTTCTTGACATACTTAGCATAATAGTTACCATGTTGGCCCTTCACCCCAATAATATTTTTTTGTCCTGTGGAAAATCAAGCTTTACTTCAAATAAGTTATAGATAGCTGCTCATTCTTTTAATGTCATCATTACAGAAAAATGTTAGCTTTTTAAAAATTACAAATTATAAATAACATCGTGATTAAACGTTCATTCACGTCATTTAAATTAAATCAATAAATAATCAACGGAAAATTGTTAACTCACATGACGTGCGTATTCCATGGTTCAGTGGAGTATTGTTAAGATGAATGTGATAGGGGCCTTTGAACAATAATAACAACCAATTGTTAGAGCGATTAATAATTTTTGTCTTATTGCGATTGGTTTAGACGATCACAATAGATTTTCCTGAATTCCAGTGGTGGCTCTGATCGTAATTTTTATCATGCTTTAGAAAATTACTATGAAACGATAAAACAATCAATTCCAACAGTAAGCTTGACTGTGTTAGCTCAGTTGGCTATAAGTCGAAATCGGTTAAACTAGTCGCAATAAGACAAAAATTTAACGAATCAATTACACTATTGACCAATGGAATGGCTCAAATGAGCGTTCTTAAACTGCCTTATCCATGAAACCAGTCGAGCCACCTCACTTATCAGTCAGTCAGTTAATATAATTCGAGATATGTTAAAATCCACCGATCTGTTTACCAACGAGATATTTATTTAGGTTTTCAGAAGTAAAACAGAATTTTGTCAATGTATTTCCAACGATAATAAATCGGGAATTAAATGATCACAAGAAATTGTAATCATTAGATTTGATAAGTAATATTTCAACTATAAGCATCAGTCGCGTGACTGATTTGAGAAAACCTAGATCTGTGCCCTTATTAATTTATAATAGTTTGGATGTAAATATTAATATTTCATGCACCAGACTCTTCTTTAAAAACGATGAATTTGTATCATTAAAGTGTAAGCTGCTTTTGGCTTTAGATGTTGTGATGGCGTCAGCTTTAAGGAAGGCGGAAGAGGAAACTAACTGGATTAAGTTGATGGGACTGATTGTTGATTGTGGTGGAGAGGCTTTAAGAATAACATTGAGGAAACAACTGTCAGGTACTGATTTATTTAATGTTTTAAATGACAGTAAAAATTATGATAAACTTTTGTTGCTAAAAGATAAGCAAATAAAGCAACATCAATGGGATTTACTGTATCCTCCTCCTCCAATGTTACCAAATGAAAATGAGTTTGACATTACTTTACTTTGTATTCTCCTGCGTAATATTTGTGGTATGAAGCCACCGCATGATCCAATCTGGACGTCAGTAAACGATCCCAATGATCCTTCAACTGAAGCAAATATTACTCGTATTAGGCTTTTTCGTAATAAGAATTTTGGTCACAATCCTAAAACATCAGTAAGCTTTGAAAAATTTGGAAGTTTATGGTTGGAAATAAGCAAACCATTACAAAGTTTAGGAATAAGTAAGGAAGAAATAGATAGAATAAAGAATAAGTCATTTGGTAATGAAGAGTGTGAAAGGATTTCGAAAGAATGGGATGCGTTCAAAAGCGATTTGACTGATCTTATTCAAACTCATCAGAAAGGTGTTAAGAGAACTGTGGATGGTTTAGAGAAAGAATTGGAACAAGTAAAAGATAGCGTCTCAGTAATTAAAGACGAAGTACATGAAATACGACATCACTCTCACTTAGGTCCAGAAGAAGATATGTTGACAAAAAACTTGTAAGTTGTAACTTTGAAAGTGAAATAAGGCATCATTATGAAAAATTTTAAAGGGAACACGTGATTGGGTTTTAAAGAGTTTTAGCTTGGTTTGAAGACGATACTTCTCAAAATCGCGCATTTATTATTTCTGCTGTTGCTGGTATGGGTAAATCTGTAATTGCAGCTACTTTATGTAAACGTTATCCACAATATTTGACTGCAGTTCATTTCTTTCAACACAACAACAGTCGTTACAATAAAGCCAATGTACTTCTTCAATCTTTAGCGTTGCAAGTTAGTCGTAATTTTCCTGCTTACAAACAACTTCTTGTGAAAAAACTCTCAGGTCAACTCTCTCAGCCTTTGAATAACATGAATGTTGAAGGATTATTTTCCTTCTTTTACTGAGTTGTTTTATAATATCTCAGAACTTCCCAAGCGAATGTTAGTTGTGCTGGATGCCCTTGATGAATGTGGTTATCTAGAAAGGGATGACCTTACTAATTTGATTGCCAACCACTTACACAAACTTCCGCCTTGTTTTCGCTTTGTAATTACCACGAGACCTAACGAAGTTGCTTTGAATAAGTTCGAAAAATTAAATCCACTGTTCATTAATTGCAGCGATGATCGCAATTTAGAGGATATTAAATTTTTGATTGAAGAAGGAATTGGCTCTACTGACAGCCTTCCTAATTTTAAAAACATTTTGGTAGAAAAAGCTGACGGACTTATATTGCTTCGCTTCTTAGCGGTGAAGTGAAAAATCAGGATTTGTTGAATGGTTCCATACCAAAAGATCTCAATGAATATTATGAAATTTGCTTAACAAGATTAAGTAAGGAATTATTAGATTCGTTTAAAATCAGTGAAAAAGCATTTCTATTAATGTTAAGTATTTTGACTGTAGCTAAAGGACCTCTTCCGTGGCAAATAGTCGAGAATATACTTTGTTTTAATTCGAAGCGCGCCTCAATTGGGGTTAGAAAAATTATCTCTTGTCTGTTTGTTACCAATGAAGATGGATGTGTTTCGTTTTTTCACAAATCCTTAATTGATTGGTTGTTGGATGATCGAACACATGATTACTCAGTAGAAACTTCACGTGGTCATCGAGTTGTTTTACAATTTTGCTTAAAACTTTGGATAATCTCAAAGCTGAAGGTGTAAACTATGACAAAATTAAGCATGTGACAGTGAGGTATTCAGTCAAGTATTGGTTGCATCACGCGCTGGAAATTTCCAATAACAATGATTTGGTTCAAAATGTTGGTAAATATCTCATTGACTTAGAAATTTTACTTGCCTCTGTTTGGATTGATGCAGATCTTACTTTGGAAAATTTTTCTTGATTAATGAGCATGCCGTGTATTTTGATCTTCTTGAGAAAATTCGATCATTATTTAATGACATTTACGTTGTTCTTACATGGCATTTCAATAGTGATGATGAAAAGAATTTTGCAAAATGTTATTAATCAAGTTAATGGTCTTGCGTCGCAGGCTTCCGATTTGCTTAAAAACGTTTTAATGATCACCCATATCTCGAGAAAATCGATACAGGTTTTGTGAAAGCTCGGCTTTTTCTACTAAGAGCAAAAGTAGTATCGCTCGATGTTTCTCGCAATCATGATTACGTCGTTTGTGGGTATCTCACAGAATTTGTACAACTTTTTTCGTTGAACACAAACAGGTGCTTATGGATAAAAAACATGAGAATTCAGTTAAGGGAAGCGGGAAACCTCGGGTTTTGTGTTGTCTTTCATCCATTTAAAGATTTAATTTTTGCTTCTCAACTAGACAAGGTGATAAATATTAAAGGGAAAATATGCCCTAGTCCGTTTCATTGTGATGATTTTACTTCTAAGTTCTTTGAGAACCAATGTTTTTCCAAGGATAAGTACACAATGGTCACTAGTTATTTAGATACTTTGACAGTATGGGACGTTAAAAAAGAAGAAAAGAAGCAAAATTTTACATTGCACAATTACATAACTTCGCTCTGTTTTAGTAAATCCGAAAGATTTTTGGGTGTTACTGAGAAGGTGGAGAAGGGGGAGGTGGTGGAGAAGGGGGTGGGATTTCGTATATACGATGTATCGGAAGGTTATGAGCCATTCGTTTTCTCGCATAAATTGCCTACTGGTCTTTGTATCATGTCCAGTATAGGCGATAACTCTTGGTGCTGTAAGTCTGGTAAGAAATTATTCATTGTAAATCCCAATGGTGAAGAACTTACTAATTTTGCTAGTAAGAGCTTGTATGATTATTTGTTTCCTATTGATCCTTTTGATAACATCATTCCAATTTCTTTTTCCCCGACAAATGCGGAAACATTTTTTGTTTGTTAAATGACGACAATGTTCTCGTGTTTGGCAAAAATGTCAACCCTTATGTATTTTTAGTACCGCTCACACACTTAACAACTGATGTTAAATGTGGCAGTAAAATTTGCACCAATGGCAATTTTCTATATCAGTTTAATGACTTTAAAGAAAGAAGTCAAGAAAAATCAAATTTGATCATTAAAAATCTGAATACGGGTGACACTTTTGTAAGGAAATGTCTTCTTAAGGACATAATAGCAGTAAAAAAATGCAGTAATTTTGCATAGAGAATATGATATTCCAGAGCTTTGGAATAATGACTTGACAAATTTGCTGTACAGTTTTGATGAACTGAAAGAAACCAAGAGAATTTTGAGTGTGAGTGATGTATTAATTGCTTGTCAGACAGCTAACTCTGTTGTGTTTTTTAATATCGAAAACAAGCGAGAAGAATTTGCACTAAAGTTTGAAAGACGTAAGCATTTGTCGGTTTTAGTAATAGCATGTAGCGTTAAGTTTCACGTGTTTGCACAAGTCTATGTTAGAATAAAAACTTACTCTTTGTGGTGTAGAAAATCTTGTAGATGGTTGGGAAGACATTTGTCAGAATCAAATAAGAAGTGTTGATCGCGCTGAATTTTCCCCATTGGCAGATAAGTTGTTGGTGTTCGAGTACTACCATTTTCTACACGTATATGACGTCAATAACAAACAAATTATTTATAATGTTACAGGAGATGAAGTTGACGGTAGCATTGCGTTTCTGGATAGTAGATACATAATACGTGAAAGTTCAGTACCTTATGGTTGGTTGATACTAAAAATAAAAGAAATTGTTGCCGTCACGAACTTTCATTATTAGGCGTGTATGCTTGTTTCTGCCGCAAAAGCAAACATGTTTATACCTTCTTTGACGATAATAACGTTTTGGCTGAAGGATTTAAAATCATATTACCTCAAAATAATATGGATCATTCAACGCAATATTTTTCAGTTTGTTTGATCGATGATGACATATTGTTCTTATTTCATGACCATGTTTCTATGATGGCCAAGAAAACCCATGCATGCATGCATGTCATTTTTTTCAAACGTCATATTTTCAGTGACTGTAATTTCATTTCATTTTTTCAGGTGATCACTATTTATTATGTCATTTTTTTTTATTAGGAACGATTTCATGTCTTTAGCCATATGTCACAACCAAAATTTTATAGCTACATTAGCTTTTTGGATTCTTTTCATTTTTGATTAAAGTTAACATATGCTGTATTATGTAAAAGGAATTCTTCTTTTATAGTAACATAATGACAATCAATTGTTACTGTATTACATTTTATTACATAACTGTGATCAAATTCTAAGATAAGGTGAAGAGGACTCGAAGATGTTAGCCAATGGAAACGTTTATTAACGTTGTTGTCAATTTTTGTTTGAAATTGGCAAACAACGAAACACTAATTGTTTGAAATCTTGAGACACAGTGTCTTTGTTTCATTCAGTCACAATCAATAAGTGAGGTAACTTTTTTCTTTAGTCTCAGTCAATAATTGTTACCAAATAAAAAACCCATAAAAGGACTTGTTCCATATAAAGTCCAACACAATAAACTTCGACATATTCTTCAACAAACTCTCAGCCCGAATCGGTCTAAATGTTTGTAGAAGAATATGTCGAAGAAAATAATGTTATAAATGATTAAAATAGTGGTATTTCGTTCAAGTATTGTTATAGGATTTTGGGTTAAAATTGGCAAAGATCAGTACGAACGTATTCAATTCTTGCACAATTGAGAGGGTCAAATAATTATAAATTTAAACAATAAGCATGGGCAGCGCAGTGTATTGTGGTTCGTAAAGATCTTGACTGGATTTATTTTGAAGAAGGTAGAACATTTTTGAAAGCCAAGCTCATGTATATGCGGTTAGGCAAGTTTGTATTGTTAAAACTTATAGTTAGAGAGGCTCTAATCAAAGAAATTACAGTCCAAATAATTTTAAATTCACTCTACTCTTCATTCTGTACTTTACACTGTCTTTTACTAAAAACTTTGACTAGTATGAATGCTGAAGTAAATTATTAAAGCAAATATATAGAAAACCAAACCACGTGAACCAATAAATGTGAAGAAACATGTGAAGCAGTAAACTGTACAATAGAATTCAACTTCATAATGGACATTCAATTTTGTGATAAACACGTCCCATTGATTCTAAACTATCCAAACTATGTGTTATTGTACGAACGAGAAAAGTTAACAAAAGCTATAAAGAGTTTTGCAACTACAAAGAAAGAACAAAAGCTACAGTACTGCATGTGAAAGGAAGCTCGAGGATACATCTATGACTTTTACTGAGAAATTTTAAATCAAGAATTTTTGCTCTGTAAACACCTGTGCTTTGTGAATAAATCGTATTATTTATGGACTTCGACAAAAGAGGGCTTTGTATTGTTGGGCAAGCGAAGCCTAAGAACTTAATTAAACGTATTTGTAATAAAATTCTTCAACAATTAAAAGAGCTTTATCCACTCAAAGATCAGCGAGCATACTGGAAATGGATGTCCAACGAGATTTGATATGTATCAATTTAAAGCATAATGAAAATTTTCACTGTCTTACTTTAAACCAAAGAATGACTAATTTATCTACTAAAGCACTTTGTGGCACAGTTTTCTATTTTCTTAAACTATGAAGTTTCATCTGCGAGCAGAACTGGAGGACAAAAGCTCTGTGATTTTACTGTGATATTGGTTATTGACTTTGTTGACAACACTTTCAAAACCTGAAAGTGAAAAATGTTCATCCACACAACCATTTTCAAGAGATTTTCAAATGTTGTTCACAAACTGTAAACACTTAAAGTGACTGAACATTTGTGAGAGAGAATAGAAGAATGTCGCATGATTACAAAGGTTTTGTACCAAATGGGCTATCGTTAGCATTTTGTCGATGCCTCAACCTGGAGTGACAGTTTCATGTCTGCTTTGTTTTATATAAATAATATGTCTAGTCTAAAGTAACATCAATATGTGAAAGTAACGTCAATCTACAACGATGAGAAGTATACGATACTTTGAACGTTTTTCTCAAGAAATTAAGTCTTTTAAGGATTTTTCAATAGTTATTTTCTAAATTTTCTATGTTTTCTTTGTATATGTCGTCAATAAATGTAGCGTAACCAGTTCACTCATTAAGTTTTACTGTGCAAATTTAAAAATTGAAAATTAATGTGGCCGTATTCTAAAGAAATGAATGATTATGATGCTCAAAAATTTGCATAGCAGGACTAACAAGAGTGGGCTAGTTACATTATTAGTCAATGATTTATTGTTGTATGGAACTATGTATATGTGATATTACTGTCCATTTGAAGGAAATGAATTGTTCATTTTGTAGGACAAAAACAGGCAGTTGATATGTGTGTCAAAATTTGGCAAAAAGATAATGGAATAATTTTAGTCGATTTTAATAACAAGTATTTGCATGACTTTTATTAATTTTGCATTGTAATATAGAATGTAATCGTAAAGAAATTGTTTTGTTGAAAAATTATTGCGTTATGTTTGTGTTTGAATAATGTGACTCCAGTGATTCCTGACCTAAAATGTTGCTATAAATTGTTGCAGCTTTTTAAGCCTGATCTAAAATCTTAGTGTAGAATAACTTATATGTTTTTATAGTGTTGCTCATAATTTTTTTAGGCAAGCCATAAAAAGCAACAGATCTTACTCCACACACTTACACTAATGTAGGTTATCATTCAAGGTACTTTAGGGTAAACCAGTATTGTTTTTTTTGTGTTTTTGCTAATCATCTATGTCATCTACAGTCGAACAAGTTGATTGTATTTGATCACTTTATTTGGTTACTTTGCTGTGGGCTATAACATATATATACATATATACATATATATTTGCAAAAATTATTCCATGTTGGTTTTTAAGATAGAAAAAGTTTTTAGGACATTTACAAGTGGAAAATCAATTGGATCTCTACGTTTTCCAGCACGTGGTCTAAGTATACCTAACCGAAACTAAGTAGGACAGCTGGTGTAGTTTCTGAGAGTTGCTATGTAACATTTCCTATACTACTACTATACCTTAAATATTTAACGCAGGCATATTTATAACAGATAGCAAATGCGTACGTCAAAATTAGGTGAGGACAGATCAAAGCTTCTGTACTTTGGCCAGTTTAGACGTTATTTAAATAGATTATCTTTTGGTTTCTTAAATCATGAAATTTTCAAAAGGGAAAAAATGAAGAATGGCTACATGGATGTGTGGAGGATTATGTCTGATGCTAAGAAGCATGAAAAATCTAAATTGCATTTAACTGCTTTTAAGACATGGAATACTTATGGAGCTAGTAAACGAATTGATTGTCTTATGTCCCTTGCAAGAAGAAATGAGATTCAGTGTCACAATGAGGAGGTAAGACAAATAGCAAATAGAAAAATTTTAAAAACTGTTACTGAGGCAGTGCTGTATTCGTCAAAGCAAGAATTGCCATTTAGATGTAACGAGGAGTCCGAAGGTAGCTCGAACAAAGATAATTATAGAGAATTGCTCGAATGTTTTGCTAAGTTTGATTCTGTTTTTAAGCGTCGACTGCACAGTAGAATAGCACAATCTGATATAGTTGGCAACAGAAGATTTACTGGAGTCTCCCCCGTAATGTAAAATGATCTTATCAGCTGTCTTGTTTCAATTATTGAAGATGAAATCATAAAAGAAATAAATGATTGCACATTTATGAGTATTTAGGTTGATGAAGCATCTGATGTGTTCACCAAAGAGCAGCTAAGTGCTATTGCTCGGTTTGACAAAGCAAGTAAAATTATTGAGAGGCAATTAGGATTTGTCGATGTAAGTATGAACAGAAATGCTACAGCAATATCACAAGTTGCCAAAGAAAACTTAGTGAGTATTCTGTTATAAAAGAAAAACTGGTTTTGCAAACATATAGGGGTGCTTCTGTCATTTCTGGCCATATCAATGTTGTTCAAGCATTGGTTTGACAAGAGTATCCTTTTGCTCATTTTGTTCATTGTGCAGCTCATAGGTTGAACCTGGTCCTATGCCAGTCAGCCTCATCAATTTCTCCTGTTAAAATCTTTTTCATTATTATAGGTACATTCAGCACATTTACAAGCAATGCCTCAAAAGTGAAAACTTTTCTCACATCAAACAACCTTGAGTTTCCTGCCACTGGTGAAACAAGATGGTATCATCGCTCTCGAGTAATCAATGTATTGCACAAAAACTATGAAAAACTTTTAGATATTTTGAGGAGGTACTTAAAAAACCAGCTGGATGGGATGATGAGTCATTAAGTAAAATAAGTGGCTTACTGCATTATCTTGATAGCTTTCTCTTTTGTTTTCTAGTGTGTGTATTTTACAGGATTATAGAACAGTCCAAAATTTTGTATTCCATTCTTCAAATTAGGGAAACCCATTTTAACTATGGCATAAGCAAGATTGACTATTTCAAGAAGTTTATTGTATCACTTCGCACAGATCAAGCTTTCACTGAGTTTTATCAAACTTCACTAGAAAAAGTTGGCCTAACAGGAACCGGAGCAGATGGTAGATACAATTATAAACAGCTTTATTTTGAGATTATTGATTCCATTAAAGGCATGTTAAGTGAACGATTTCAAGATTTTAATCAGTTGGAGTTCTTAGACCTTGTAAATCCTAAACTATTTACTACATGGAAGGGCATAGTTCCACGGGAGAAGATCAATCTTCTCAAGGATAAGTATAGTCCTCATTTTGACATCCCAACTTTGGAGAGTCAACTTTCCTTCATTTACAATGACAAGGACTTTCACAATAAGTGCAGTAATGAGATGCTTAAATACATCGTCAACTGATAAGTGGTAAGTTTGTTAAAATTGAATTGAATGGTGTCTTGGCAGTGGCAAGTGCTTCAGTAGAGAGGTCGTTTTCTTGCTTGAAAAGGGTCAAAAGCTGTTTGAGGAATAGATTGGTTCAAGGTCGGCTTAGCTCTTTGTGTAGAATATCTATTTACAAAGATATCATTGAACAAAAAGAAGAACCAGAGGTGTTGCATAATGGGGTGGTTGAAAAATTTGTAGAAAAACCCAGGAGGCTGGCCTTTCTTTATAAATGATGGGTATTGTATGTGTTTTGATATTTGTTCTTATAATGTATGGTACTTCAATGAGAAAATTAAGCATAACTTTAAAGAATGAAGCCATCCCTGTCTACCTGCCCCAATCTAAACAAGTGTAAACTAAAAAGTGGAATGTTAAGAATAATCTCTCTGTAAGCATTTTAGGAAGTGTCGTATACTATATTATTTATTGTGCTAATCCAAATTTCTTCCGTTTATTCAGGGACAGTGATGAGTTTTATTTATTATGTTTTAGGCGACAATTGTCTTCTACGTAACGTTTCTCTGAGCCACCTTTAGTACCTTTTTAACTATTTGCAGTTTTTACAATTAGGGCATTAAGAATGCAGCTAATAAAAAGGGGTTTTATAACGTATTGTACAACAAATAATTCACCCTCCAAATAGCGGGAAATGCTGTTTCCATACCTCTAAATTTCAAAATATTCTGGGGGAGCATGCCCCCGGACACACCTGGTGGGGGGCGGCGTAGGTGGGCGTTAGTTACTATTTTTCCTGGTTACGCCACTGCTTGTAAAAAAAGTGGTGATATTTTCTATAGGAAAAAAAAGATCTGTAATCTTAGAAGCAATATTTTATTTCAATGATTGCTTAGTTCAAATCACATATTTTTCCATTTAAATGATTTTGTAAAACTTTAAAACATTATGCTATCCAATGGATAACGCTATTCGGCCTTTGTGCAACCAGCCCCAAGTTTTCCATTACAATCACAATAAATTTGTACCATGGAAGTCTTACCTACTTTTTTACTGAAGGTAGCGACAGGAGGTCTGTCTGGAGCTCAGACAAGAATATTAATGTTTTAATGATTTTAAATTGTTTATATTGATTGTTGATGTTGGTGGAGAAGGTTTAAGAATAACAATAAGGAAACAACTATCAGGTACTGGTTTGATTCTTGCATTAAATGATCCTGAAAATTATGATAAGCTTTTGTTTCAAAGAGATAATCACACAAATGCAACATCAATAGGATCTACTGTACCCTTATCCTCCAATATTACCAAATAAAAATAAGTTTGACATTAATTTACTATGTGTTCGCCTGCGTAATATTTGTGGCTTAAAACCACCTCGGGATCCAATATGGGAAAACATGCCTAATGTCACTGATTATTCAACTGAAGCAGATATTACCCGTACCAGGTTATTTCGTAATGATCGTTTTGCTCACTTACCTAACACTTCTGTAAGCTTTGATAAATTTGAAAATTTTGGATGGAAAAGTCAGGAGGAAATAAATAATTTAAAGAGTGAGTCCTTTGGTAATGAAGAATGTGAAAGAATTTTGAGAGCATGTGATAGATTAAAGAATGATTTAGCTGATATTGAAACTGATCAAAGAGGTATTAAGAGAGCAGTGGAGGAACTAGAGAAAGATTTACAACAGGTAAAAAGCGTCGAAATAATTATCGACGAAGTGCATCAAATACGACATCACTCTTACTTAGGTCCAGAAGAAGATATTTTGACAAAAACCTTGCAAGTTGTGACTTTGAAAGTGAAATTAGACATCACTCTGAAAATTTTTTAAGGAACACGGGAATTGGTTTTAAAGAGTTTTAGCTTGGTTTGAAGACAATATTTCTCAAAATCGTGCATTTATTATTTCTGCTGTTGATAAGATGCTAGATATTAATGGTAAAATTTCCTACAGTCCGTTCCATTGTGATGATTCTACTTCTAAGTTCTTTACCAACAAATGTTTTTCTAAGGATAAGTACACAATGGTTACTAGTTACAAAGATACTTTGACAGTATGGGACGTTGAGAAAGGTGAGAGAAGCGCAACGTTAGATGCAATAATGTGAGCTCACTGTGTTTTTTTAATTCTGAAAGATATTTGTTCGTCATTAAGAAAGAAAGAGTGTTTTGAATATATAAAGTAGCGAATAATTGTGAAACATTCGCTTATGACGATGATTTTTTTGTTCACTGTTGGTCTTCATTCTTGGTGTTGTTTGTATCTTTTCTTCGGGAATGAACCTGACAATATTGTATATCAAACTAGTAAGAAACTTCCTGACTTAGATTTTTATCCCCAACATTTTTTGTATCCTCTTGATCCTTTTGATGACAACAGATCAAGCTTTCCCTTTAAGAGTGCAAAAATGTTTTATTTTATTTTGAACAGCGACAGTGTTCTTTTGTTTAAATACGGATATGACTTACATCTATATTCAATAGCTTGTGCATCTTTAACCAACATTTACAGTTTTAGTAGCAAGAAATTTTGCTCAAATGGAAAACTGCTGTGTCGGAGCAATGAAGAAAATTCAAGGTAATTATATACATTGTCAACACATGTGACTTTGTTGTCAAGGAATGTTTTGTTAGAGATATGGTTGCTGTAGGAAATGGAGTTGTTTTGCTTACGGCAAAA